TTAATTTAGTGGTACCTATCTACTAATTGATTCAGTGTTACCTATCGGCTAATTGATTCAGTGGTATCTATCAGCTAATTGATTCAGTGTAACCTATCGGCTAATTGATTTAGTGGTATCTATCGGCTTATTGATTCAGTGTTATCTATCGGCTTATTGATTCAGTGGTACATATCGGCTAATTGATTCAGTGGTACATATCGGCTAATTGATTCAGTGGTACATATCGGCTAATTGATTCAGTGGTATCTATCGGCTAATTGATTCAGTGGTACATATTGGCTAATTGATTCAGTGGTATCTATCGGCTTATTGATTCAGTGTTATCTATCGGCTAATTGATTCAGTGGTACATATCGGCTAATTGATTCAGTGGTACATATCGGCTAATTGATTCAGTGGTACATATCGGCTAATTGATTCAGTGGTATCTATCGACTAATTAATTTAGTGGTACCTATCAGCTAATTGATTCAGTGTTACCTATCGACTTATAGATTCAGTGGTATCTATTGGCTTATTGATTATGTGGTATCTATCGGCTTATTAATTCAATGGTATCTATTGGATAATTGATTCAGTGGTATCTATCGACTAATTAATTCAGTGGTACCTATCAGCTAATTGATTCAGTGTTACATATCGACTAATAGATTCAGTGGTATCTATCGGCTTATTGATTCTGTGGTATCTATCGGCTTATTGCTTCAGTGGTACATATCGGCTAACTGATTCAGTGGTACATATCGGCTAATTGATTCAGTGGTACGTATCGGCTAATTGATTCAGTGGTATTTATTGGTTAATTGCTTCAGTGGTACTTATCAGCTTATTGATTTAGTGGTATCTATCGGCTAATTGATTCAGTGGTATATATTGTCTAATTGATTCAGTGGTATCTATCAGCTAATTGATTCAGTGGTACCTATCGGCTAATTGATTCAGTGGTACATATCGGCTAATTGTTTCAGTGATACCTATTGGCTAATTGATTCAGTGGTATTTATCGGCTAATTGATTCAGTGGTACCTATCGACTAATTGATTTAGTGGTACATATCGGCTAATTGATTCAGTGGTACATATTTGCTAATTGATTCAGTGGTACCTATCGGCTAATTGATTCAGTGGTACCTATCGGCTAATTGATTCAGTGGTACCTATCGACTTATTGATTCAGTGTTACCTATCGACTTATTGATTCAGTGGTACTTATCGACTAATTGATTCAGTGTTACCTATCGGCTAATTGATTCAGTGGTACATATTGACTAATTGATTCAGTGGTATCTATCGGCTAATTGGTTCAGTTCGACATTTCGGCTAACTTACTCAGTGGTACCTATTGGCTAACTTGTTGAATGTAACCTATCGCCTAACTGAGTGTTACCTTTTGTTTATATAAATGTGTGGTTAAATGTTGATAAAATGAAAAACAAAGACTGTAGATAAAGAGGAAATACACAAGTTTATTTAAACAGTGTATAAAAGTGTAATACTTAACAGATGTAATAGCTAATGTAAACTAACCAAAAACTGCAAGTTATTTTTGAGCTATGAATCCCGTTCTAAACTAATCACGTAACGTGTGACGTATCTAATTTCTCAAACTAATCACGTAACGTGTGACGTATCTAATTTCTCAAACTAATCACGTGACGTATAACGTTTCCCATTTTTGTAAACTATTCACGTGATGATTGTTAAACTTATCACGTGATGTATGACGTATACCATTTTAAAAATCAATCACGTGGTCTATGACGATTTCATATTTTCAACCAATCATGTGATTTATTACTTATCTCAATTCTCAACCAATCACTTGATGTTTGGCGTCTCCAATTGTTCAACTAGACACGTGATCGATCTTAACAAATAACGTGATGTATGACGTATTCCAGTTTTAAGTCGATCACGTGATGTACATGTATTTATAAGCTCTAATAGAACACGCTTCAATGGCATTATTATTTTGTTTCTTACATAATAAATAAGTTCTAGTAAATAAAGATATTTACAGTGCTATTTTGCAACTAAAATGTAACAGTTATTTCTTGTTTGGCAGTAAAAGATAAGTTTATTTTTTTTTACCAATTTAACAATATACTTTAAGAATCACAGCGCCGTTATGTACCCATTATCAAAATAAACAACAGTCAATTTATAAAGCCCCAAAACAGCAATCTTGATAAAAGCAAAGTAATCAAAATTGCTTGTATAACAACATTAACGAACAAATCAAACCAAATTGCTTTAAATAATTTTTACTTTTATTATTATGTAAAAAAAATCCTGATCGATAGCGTAAAATTAACCAAGTAAATTTTTTGTTACAATGGAAAAAAGATAATTTTACAAAATACTTATATTGTTTTCGGTGACAAAAAACATTTGATCGAATTAGTATGTCTTTCTAAAGAGATATAATTACTGCGTTATTTGTAAAATTCAGATATTAATTTAGAAATAAAAAACACAAAAGGAATACATTTTGAATGTTAAAAGATACGAAATCGATTTTCGTGATGGTAAAAATAATAGAACTTACTTTTAAAAAATCTTATATAACAAAAAAAAATGAATTAGCCCATCTGTATAAAATAAATAGAGGGTATTCAAGTTTTTTCTATAAATACATGATTTATTTTCATCGAGTGGTATGAAAATAAATATTTTATGAGTGGCGGTAGCCACGAGTGAAATATGGTAATTTTCATGCCACAAGATGAAAATAAATCATGTATTGATAGAAAAAACTTGAATTTTCTGTTTATTATATACATTTTTCCCGTTCTGGACATTAAAATTTGAAAGACTTTCCCTTAAATTTTGAGTACTGGCAGAATTTAAAAGAAAGTAGTCCGGCAAGACACCAGTGAAAATATGGAAAATATGTTTCACTGTAGTGAAAAATAATTTTTTACAGTGAAAATACGAAAAAAGAAAATACGCATTTTATTTCATCAATATTTCTCAATATTTCATTTAAAAGTATATAATAAACCGAAATATTCTTTATTTCCAGTTTAAATATATCATGATGCTGAGATTCATGTATATCTATGGATACCAAATATTTCTGAAGGGTTTTATAGTAAAAACAAACTAGGTAACGCTTTTCTTTCCTTTAAAGGACAAAAGCCCACAAAATCAAAGTTTCTATTTTGGTGACAAATCCAAAGAGCGTATGTCGGTGTAGGGTATTCGAATCATACCATGGCATTAATTTAGTGAACACAATTTAGAAATATGAATGAGTAAGATTCTAATTATTTGAATATTAACGAGAAAAACGAATAGAACTTACACAAACACAACTAAACAAATGTAAAATTATCCCCCAATTGAAAGTGATAGCAAACAAATGTTACCTATTTCTGTGGTTCAAAAAATGACATAGACTACTCTTCTTATTTACTATATTGATAGATTTTTTTGTTTGTTTATTTTTCTTACAAACAACACTGGAACCAAACTATAAACAGGTTAATTAAAAACGTTAAATGATATAAAATATAATGAAAAACATTTTTCAACATTAGCAAAAAATATATCGTTTTTTTATCCACAACAAAACACCTATAGTCATCCATATTGCGTTTTTGCCCTACGCAGAATGCGCATGCGCGAAATGGAACACCCGTTACTAAGGAAAAATCATATTGTAAAAAAGTCTATTCAATAGTCGATAAATCACCAGCTTTTCTGTCACTAGCTTAAATGTACATTATAAAAACACCAAGAAAGATAGATTAACAAAAAGAAAGATAAATTAACAAAAAGAAAGATAAATTTACAAGAAAAAAAAAATACGATATGTTACAAACGAACTACAGTTGAATCACTTTAATTGTTGAAATAACCATATGTGAAAAAATATCTGTGTTTTCAAACAAGATATGTAAAAAAAATACAAACATGTGAAATCTTAACATTTGTCCATTAAATGGAATATAACAAATTCTAAGCGACACTTACATGTTTATACTACTCATATTATTTTCCTCGAGCTGAAAATATTTTGAGTTAGTTCAACACATTTTTTTATCAATAATTTTAATATATATTTTCAAATTCATACTGAACCTATATATAAACGAATGTTAGCAAATTGTCATGTAAATAAAAACAACTTATCATTAACAGAAGCAAACTTATGTTTGTTAGTGTCTGCTGACTTTGACACTTTTCTTGACGTTGGTCGTTTATTTATCTAGTTTGACATTAACAAATATATACAAAAATAGATAATTAAAGTTTCCTTTTACGCAGGAAGTAACTTCATAATGATTTCTCAACTTTACATTGTTTCTAAATATTACAGTGATTCAAAACTTTACTTTAATTTTCAACTTTAAATTGTTTTTTTAACTTTACATTGGTACTTAACTTTAAATCGATTATAAACTTAACATTGATTCTCAACTTTACATTGATTCCCAACTTTACATTGATTCTCAACTTTACATTGGTTCTAAACTTTAAATCGATTATAAACTTTATATTGATTTTCAACTTTACATTAATGTTCAACCTAACACTGAATCTTAACTAAACATTGATTTTCAACTCTTTACATTGATTCCCAACATTGATTTTCAACTCTTTACATTTGTTCTCAACTTTATATTGATAATAGAATTTACATTGATACTAAATTTTACATTGATAATAAATTTGACATCGATTCTCACCTTTTTACATTGATTCTACACATTACATTGTATCTCAACCTAACAATTTGTTTGATGAAGAAATCCATGCATATTATGTAAATATAAGAAATGCACGCTTATAAACTTTTTTTGAGTCACTAGCTTCGCTAATTCATATTCATGACGTCAGCTTCACGAATTTTCAATTTCAGCTTCATGAATTCCCGATTTCACCAACATTTATTTAAGAATTCACGATTTTCACAACTCCACAATTTCGAGTCAATGAATTCGCGATTTTAACATGTCAATATAACTTTTTCAAATATATGAATTCACAAGCAGAAATTCGTTAAGCTGAAAGCGTGTATGCAAAAAAATTAAAATTCATAAATTTAAAATCGTGAGTTCATGTAGTTATCATGATAAAGTTCAAAATGTCAATTCATGAATTTTAATTAATGAAGTTTAAATCGTGAATTCGCGAAGGTGAAATCGTGAATTAATGAAGTTGACAAAGTGAATTCAGGGATTCAACATTTTGAAATCTTGAATTCATTCGTTAAATTTACTAGTAATTGATGAATTCTAGAAGTTAGCATGTCCCTACCAGTCTTCCGTACTTTAACATGTGACAAGATGTGAGTGACAACCAATAAACCAACTGTGTCGTCACAAAAATACTCTATAATAGTCACACAAAATTCAACAATTTCACAGACAATAATATATCAAATAAAAAATGTCTGAATATTTAGATATAGAGTTTAAAAATATCTGAATTTTACAATTTAAAAACTACTCTCCACATTGGCGTTTAACCAAGATTCGATAGATTTGTAATTCTTTTCCATCCATCCAATGTTTGCCCTGAAAAATAATGAAAAAATATTGAAGAGTTTAAAATATACAACGTTTGCAACAATCGCATCTTTTTGGCCTTTTCTTGTCAAACTCCGGTTATTATTTATAAATATAGCCGAGAAATCGCAACCCTTCGGCATTTTTCGCCCTTCTTCGGCATTTTCCGTCAGTCTTCGCATTTTCCGCCAGTCTTTGGCTCTCCAGATGTTCACTTTAAAACAATTTGTTGAACTTACTTTACAAAACATCTTCTGATATATTACAATCATAGTTTTATGGTGTCCGTGCCCGAATGGTTAAGGTCGTTGACTTCAAACGACGTGCCTCTCACCACTGTGGGTTCGAATCCCGACAGGGACTTTGGATTATTTCGTGTGAGAAAGCTATTCAGCCTGCTTACGGAACGTTGGCGGTTCTACTCAGGTACTCGCTCCTGCCTGAAATAATGCACGAAAGGGCACCTGAGGTCTTACACCACCAGTAAAACTGTAACGCCGCCATATGACCTATACTGTGTCGTAAAACACAATCAAACAAACAATCACATATAATTATTATTTATCCTGTGCCGACGAAAACGAAAGTAGAAAATATATGGCAAATTTACAAGCATTTATTTTGGTGTTTGATAGTTATAACCATATAAATTTGACAAAAATAAGCGATATTTGTCATTCCTTAAGATTTTGTTCCCTAAAATCATGTTTTTTTTTCAAGTGAAAACAAAAAGGCAAAAAGAAGTGTTCTTCTTAACCGGAATTCGCTAAAGCCGTGTCCGCTATTAATGTTTTATAATAGAAACTTATATTCAATTTGAACAATATTTCTTTTATTCTACATCTCCTCGCTTATAAAATCAATAATAAAATTATGTACAACAAATAGATTATTAAAAACATTTTCAATAACAACACTCTCATGTATACATTTACGTCTATGAGAGAATAAGGGTGAAGAAACGTTTTTTTTTCTTTCAATTTTCAGTATTTACCTTATTAGAGCCAGGGCGCTATCGGCACCTTTTTTCGCACCTTTTGGGGGCTTCATCTTAAATAACTGCTCCAGCTTAAATATAAATAATATCATTATTTAGATATAGGTCAAGGTCATGCAAACAGGATACATTTTAGTAGGTCAGACTTATTTTGATTAATTATTAACCATAAACTTTGATGGCTGATTTGGAAAATGTTTGTGAATCGTTTTATAGCTTGCGACAGCACGACAAGGCGCCAAACAGCGCATTGTCGCACTGTCGTCTTCTCGTCCTGTCGTAAACGAACCACAGCAAACGGCGCGTTGTCGTGCGGCGTGTTGTCGCGATGTCACATTGTCGCTCGGCTCACATCGAAGGATTGGCTATTTGTATATATAAAGCCGAGCGACAAGGCGACATCGCGCCGCACGACCACGCCCCGTTTTTGGCGTGTTTCGCTTGCGACAAGACGACAGTGCGACAACGATATACGTTGTGTTGTCGCTATCGACAACGCAACGCGCAAAGTGTACCAAATCAGCCACCATAATAAACGGTATAAGTTCATTCAGACAGATATATAAAACATGAAAATTGAGCGAATGTTATTGTGATGCTTGATTTAATTCAGTAAATAATAAAAATGTTTAATAAAATTTAGTTAAATTTAACAAATGTCCGTATTAATGAGTGTTAGAATGCCGCATCTAAATGAAACTGAGGTTTGAACATTATATATTATACATTATCTGTGTCACTTAAAAAATAAAGCAAATCATCCAGAATACATGAAGCGCCGCAATGCGACGAAAACCAGGTTTTCAACGACCAAGTTTTGATGTGACAGCAATCAATAGGCCAAAAAGCACTGAAATTATTGAGTAGAAGCTGAAAATTCTATTGTAAGCAAATGACCTTGAACTTGCTCCCAGATACCTTAGTGGCAATCAAAAGCTGCCACTCAGCAAGTTTGGTGGCAAAAGGTCAAAGCAAACTCAAGGTATAACATGAAAACTAAATACATTAACCTTGATCACAGACACCTGGGTAGCAATCCCAAGCTGCCTCTTGATATAAGCTATCCATTCATTAAGTTTGTTGTCAATAGGGCAAAGCAAACTCAAGTTATTGAGCGGAAACTGAATTTCTATTTTTAGTAACAGTGACCTTGACCTTGATCACAGACACCTGGGTAGCAAGCCAAAGCTGCCTGTTGATATACGCTATCCATATAACAAGTTAGGTGTCAATAGGCCAAAGCTAACTCAAGTTATTGAGCGGAAACTGAATTTCTATTTTTAGTAACAGTGACCTTGACCTTGATCACAGACAACTGGATAGCAATCCCAAGCTGCCTCTTGATATATAAGCTATCCATACACCAAGTTTGGTGTCAATAGGGCAAAGCAAACTCAAGTTATTGAGCTAAAACTGAATTTCTATTTTTAGTAACAGTGACCTTGACCTTGATGACAGACACCTGGGTAGCAATCCAAAGCTACCTCTTGATATAAGCTATCCATATACCATGTTTGGTGTCAATAGGGCAAAGCAAACTCAAGTTATTGAGCAGAAACTGAATTTCTATTTTTAGTAACAGTGACCTTGTCCTTGATCACAGACACCTGGATAGCAATCCCAAGCTGCCTCTTGATATACGCTAACCATATAACAAGATAGGTGTCAATAGGCCAAAGCAAACTCAAGTTATTGAGCGAAAACTGATTTTCTATTTTTAGTAACAGTGACCTTGACCTTGATCACAGACACCTGGGTAGCAATCCCAAGCTGCCTCTTGATATAAGCTACCTACACACCAAGTTTGGTGTCAATAGGCCAAAGCAAACTCAAGTTATTGAGCTGAAACTGAATTTCTATTTTTAGTAACAGTGACCTTGACCTTGATGACAGACACCTGGGTAGCAATCCAAAGCTACCTCTTGATATAAGCTATCCATACACCAAGTTTGGTGTCAATAGGGCAAAGCAAACTCAAGTTATTGAGCAGAAACTGAATTTCTATTTTTAGTAACAGTGACCTTGTCCTTGATCACAGACACCTGGATAGCAATCCCAAGCTGCCTCTTGATATATGCTATCCATACACCAAGTTTGGTGTCAATAGGCCAAAGCAAACTCAAGTTATTGAGCGGAAACTGATTTTCTATTTTTAGTAACAGTGACATTGACCTTGATCACAGACACCTGGGTAGCAATCCCAAGCTGCCTCTTGAAATAAGCTACCTACACACCAAGTTTGGTGTCAATAGGCCAACGCAAACTCAAGTTATTGAGCTGAAACTGAATTTCTATTTTTAGTAACAGTGACCTTGACCTTGATGACAGACACCTGGTTAGCAATCCAAAGCTACCTCTTGATATAAGCTATCCATACACCAAGTTTGGTGTCAATAGGGCAAAGCAAACTCAAGTTATTGAGCGGAAACTGATTTTCTATTTTTAGTAACAGTGACCTTGACCTTGATCACAGACACCTGGGTAGCAATCCCAAGCTGCCTCTTGATATAAGCTACCTACACACCAAGTTTGGTGTCAATAGGCCAAAGCAAACTCAAGTATTTGAGCGGAAACCAAAAGTTGACGCCTGCCCGCCCGCCGACTTCGGCATTACAATAACCCGGTTTTCGTTGAAAACGTGGTTAATAAAAGTGAATAATACTTACCTGGTTAAGCTGAAATTCACTGTTAACATACGAAGTTACCTCCCCTATCATTTCTCGAATTATAAATGTATCATCCCCAAACCTTAAATTATTAATAAATATGAATTAAACTACACATTTCATGATGTCACACTCTTTTTTCATACGTAACAAGTATAATTCTATGAAAATATATACTGATTATTGGGGTTAGATGTATTTAACGTAAAAAGTATAACTAGATATGGAAATATACACTGATTATTTGCATTATAAGGAAATTCTTAATGGGAATTATATTTTATTTTATTTTCGACTGCCATATGAATAAATTCAACATGGTTTTTGCCTCCGTTGCATAGTTGTTACGGTCGCTGTCTCCAAAATAACGGGCTTGTCTTTGCTGTAAGTTCGAATCCCGCACGGGACTTTGAATTGTTTAATGCAAAGTAGCTATCCAGCGAACTTACGGATGGTCGGTGGTTCTACTAAGGTATCCGCTCGTGCCATGCAATAATGAATAAGCGGGCACCTGAAGTCTTATTCCACCAATTAAACTGCTGGAAAGTCTCCATACGAACTTTATACACTAGTGCCACTTAATAAAAACGCGAAACAAAGAAGACCGGTGGTTCAACTTAAACTCAGGTGCCCGCTCGTGCCCGAACTAATGATTTAACGGGCACCTGAAGTCTTATTACACGAATAAAACTGCTGGAAAGTCGCCATACAAACTCTATAGAGTCAGCGCGATTTAAAACACGACAAAACAGAGTATTGTTTCAATTAGAAAACAGTCTCACTTATCATTAAGATCGTCCCATCTTGTCATCAGAAAATGTAAAGCTATCATTCTTCCTAGAGGCGTGTTAGAGAAGTAACTCATCACCAATCGGACATCTTGCATCTTAATCTTGTCTACATCAAATATCCAATTAGCATACCTGGTATAAATAAAATAATACTTCATTACTCTATGACTTTAGTGTTCTTCATGTCTTTATATTTCGGAAATTGATATATTAAGTGAAGTGCAGAATTTTAAGAATATTGTTGGTTGGCGTCTTTTTTATTTGAAAGTTAAACATGCAAGCGGAAAATATTAAATATTAAACCCTCTATTCAGTGAATCATCTAATATTTGCTGTAAAATCAATGTTTTGATCTCCAAACTTTGTATATATAACAATTATAATTGTTATAAGCATTTTGTATTCCCAATTAGCATACTTGATATGAATGGATTAATATTTCAAGATAACAATTTAGCAAAATCACGAACAGGACATGCGGATATTGGTTTGAAATTAATAAAGTGTTACTTCTTATAACATTACAGAAAAAACACACGTGCTCGAACGTCATAAACGTCAACGGATGATACTTGCAAATTGACGTCGGCATTTCATTTTGTTGCTCTTCGTTTAAATTACTAAAAATAGGAAATACTTCACATCTGACAACATAGTTATTTAGCAGGAAACGATTTTACTCGGAGCATGCGCTATGCTTCAAATAGAATTTATGAAAAAATAAAACATACAACTGTTTTCCCCCTATTTAAAGCAGGAAGAAAATTTGGTTGTAATTTAAAATTGATTGATCTTCATGGTTACATTGTTCAAAACAAATTCAAATATTGTTAAAAACCAATAATAATTCATCATTTAGATATTCTTATAAACTATTTCTTGCAAAAAACAGGTTCGTGAAAACTAAATACCAATTAATAAATTGATGGAATACGATGTTGACGTCAATCACTCAATATTGGCTAAGTCAACCATAATTGACGTCAGTTAGCCAGTACCGACGTCATCTTATAAATGCTACAATCAGTTACCTAATTCTAAACGTTTATTTTCCGTATTTTCACTGAAATACTTTATTTTTCACTGCAGTAAAACATATATTTATCGAAAAACTTCAGTATCATCTACATTAGTTTTTTTATTTACCTCCAAAGAAGCCATGGTTTTTGTGTATGTGCTAGAGCCTCCAGCAACATTTCTCGTTCCGACGGCGAATTTGTTTGTTGAGATTTTATCCAGACATGATCCCATTCATCTACACTCCCTTCTCTTACGCCGACGGCGTAAATAACTTGTGAGAAATCTGTCGGAAGTCTGAAAAAGATCCGGGACAAATATTTTATTATGATGCTATATAATTCATATGAAAGTGCAAGACGTCATTCTGAAAGTGTATGACTTCATTCTGAAAGAAGCATGAACCCTTTTAAAAGTGGATGACGTCATTCTGAAAGTGCATAACGTCATTCAGAAAGTGCATGACGCCACTCTTTTAGAGATGCCTAGCAAATATAAATCAAAGAACAGAAGGTGCTGAATTTGTTAGGGTCTCAGAATGTCAGAAAGGTGAAGATTGTGAGATTATAAACCAATTTGTTTTTGCATAGTGCCACCAATGCTGTTACAGTGTTGTAACGGTAGTAAATTGGCTACAAGACTAATTAATTTAAAAAGAAAAGTTGCCTGAACTAGGATTTGAACTCGAAATCCCTCGCATCCAAAGCGAGCGTGTAAACCCCTCGACCACGGGAAGGTATAAGATTATATTTTGAAGAAAACCACCTTATTCTAAATTAGGGTTTGTAACCCTTATTTATTTCGATATATTTTGTTCACAGTAAACCTGTTGTTAAACACTGATGTAAATAATCAAGGAGCTTAATATAAGCATGTATATCTATAAAGAATAACACAATATTAGAAATCTTCGACCAATCAGGACCAATTTTTTCTTCTCCGAGAAAGCTTGAAATTGTATGCGCCTGTCATTTGGCAATCTTTTACGCAGTGATCTCCCTTTTTCGGTCTTAGTGTACATATCAAGGGAAGTAAGCGCTTCGAGGAATTTGGATTACTTTCGGTTTTTACAAATAAGCACATCAGGGTCTGAAATTTCGCTACCATTATTTGTTTGGTCTGACGACCCCAACAAATAAAAACCTGTAATTGATTATTTCACACACTGATTGAGCCCCACCTCTAAATGTATAGTAATTGTAATTCTTTTTAAAATTAATATTTAAATAAAAAAATGCGCAATTTTTTAAACAATTTATATAATTATGCACAAAGAAAATTATCAAATACAGTTAGTCCGCTAATGAAAATTCATACCTGGTTCCGTTTGTCATCCAGGCCTGGAACTGGTCTTTAGCATATTTTATAGCCGCCTTAACACCCGAGTCACATCCGGTCTTTAATAACAATCTTCGTAAGTACCTTAAAAAAGTGAGAAAAGTTAAACATAAAAAACAGAACGATATGTTATAAAACACGTTTCACATATCTAAAGCAAATAAACTGAGTTTTGTAAGAAAATGTCAGGTGAGAACGTTTTAATAGAAAAGTTTTTTTCTCTGTATGTCTTGTTTTTACTCCGTTACTGTTATTTTACTCCGTTGCTGTTGACTTAACAACATTACCGGTGTTTGTACTCTATTATTGTTGTTTACTCCGTTACTGCACAATGTTTTTATTCTGTCATCCCTAAACTATTGAGAATTCAAGTAGATAGTTTTATATAATACTGCACGTTGCTACGTCGATTTTCATTGGATAATCACGGCGTTTATAAACTTTATATAAACTATTATAATGCAAGTTTATAACGCCGCTTTTCAATGGATAATAGTGACGTTTATATAGTTTTATATACACTGCTGCTGTCAATTTATGAAAAAATCTCACTTTTTCTGTATTATAAATTCGTTAAAAATACTTCTCACAGGTTATATGGTCATATATAAACGGTTAGTTGCAATATAACCCTCGCCTATCGGTCTAGGTCATATTTACAAACAAGGTCATATTTACAAACAAGGTCATATTTACAAACAAGGTCATATTTACAAACAACCGTTAATTTAGGACCATATTACCTGTCAAAATCTTTATAACTAATAATATACATGTGCAATACATATATAACTGTGTATAATATAAACAGAATCAAATCTTATTATAAAAGACACAGATACGATTGTGTTTCATAATGCGTTTTGCAGAGCTGGTATGAGAAAGTTAAAATGAACAACCCTCGTATAATTTACTTAACATAATTGAGACGTGTCACGACAAAACCAACGTAATGCATTTGCGACCAGCATGGATCCAGACCAGCCTGGATCCATGCTGGTCGCAACCCATTATTTTGGATTTGTCGTGGCGCGGCTCAATTATAAAAGAAACATTTCGTTATGTAAAAGTTAACTCACATCTCTGGGAGAGTTCCTTTATCATTTATACCTATTTTGTCAAACACTGGTGCAATAAGTTCTGCAATATATTTCTGAAAATAAATATAAGTACCTTATTTTTATATGAAGACACATATTTTTTCTGATCTATATTTATATCAAACTAACAAAAGTGCAATGAAATCGCCTCCCTCAGTAACTTAAGTGCATCGATGATATTACACACATTTTTTTACACATGAAGTGTGTTCTGTAAAATATTATATGATATTACCGACTGACTCAAACAATTTGGTCACATGCTTTATATATCCCTTACATTCATAACTATAATTTTACCTTAAGGCTGTTCTTTTTAACAAGTGTAACGAATTGGTCATGATAACTATGTGCCTTTAACGGCTGAAATATCGATGCAAATTTACATATTGCACTTGACCAAGACAAACAAGTAAAAACAAACAAACAGAATTCAAACAATCGTATCTTAAAGCTTTGTAAAACACAAATTTCATAGAATAATTTTCAAAATACAGTTAAACTTCGTTCGCTCGAACCCGGATCACTCGAATACCTTCATTCGCTCGAACTCATCTCACTGTCCGGGAAAATCCTTATATATAATATCGAAAACCTCCCTTCGCTCGAACTCTTTGCAATGTCCGCGAAAATCCCTATATATTATATACAGGGATTTTCCGGGGCTGTGTGATGAGTTCGAGCGAAGGGAGGTATTCGAGTGATCCGAGTTCGAGCAAACTAACTATAATATTGTAGTTTTACCTCGAGAGCCACGTAGGCACTCTCTTTAGACAACATTCCACGTATAAACTCTATACAATCGAAGAAAGCTTTCCATGGCACATAATTTTCCTCGTGACGTAGGTAAGTGGTCAGTTTTAAAGCCAGTCCATAGTCCAGTAGTGATGCTCTGAAATTATTTAACCAAATGAGTCGCGTCATGACAAAACCAACATAATGGGTTTGCGACCAGCATGGATCAAGACCAGCCTGCACATCCGCGCAGTCTGATCAGGATCCATGCTGTTCGCTTACAAACCCTATTACAAGTAGAGAAACTGGTAGCGAACAGCATGGATCCTGATCAGACTGTGCGGATGCACAGGCTGGTCTGGATCCATGCTGGTAGCAAACGCACTATGTTGGTTTTGTCGTGACGCAGTTCAAGTTAAAGTGTGTTGTGGCAAATAACAATCCCTAATATGTCTGTGTAACTTAAAACCAAATTAATTATATTAATTATAACCATTGAATGTTTTCGTTGATTGTAAAAAAAAATTATAAAAAATATCGCCTAAAATAGAAACGAAAAAAACCACAGGCATTTATAATAGGAGATGTGACCAAATGCTTAAGGTTCTACCTCTTTAAAACGTAAACACATTACTGGTCATTTTTTAAGTAGCGGATTTAAACGTATTTCAAATAACAATCATTCGGATAATTATCATAAATATATCACGGTATTTTCAAGCTAAATACATTTTTTGCATTGCATTGCATTGCATTACATTACATTGCATTGTATTGTATTGTATTGTATCGTATTGTATTACATTGCATTGCATTGCATTGTATTGTATTGTATTGTATTGTATTGTATTGTATTGTATTGTATAGTAATTTAAAGCTAAATAAATCAACTGAAATAAAACAAGATATCTGCTTTAGTTATTTTATTTAATTGATATAAATATCATATAATTGATATAACTGAAATGATTGAATTATAATCTATAGAACTTATATAATTGATATACCTGTCATAATTGAAATATAATTGGTATACCTTGCAAGATTAAAAGCATCTCCGATAAGCCCCGCCCTATTTGGAGGACTAATTACCTGAAATAGAACAAAATATAATACCTACATCATTTATAATTTACAAAAGTTTTCTTGCTTCACTTTATTACAGCAAACACTTCAATACACCCGTGCACATTTTCACTTCGTACATTATAAAGTGAACTTTATACGTCTGAATAATAAACAAAAACACCCCCATTAAAAAAAATGAAAAAAAAAAAAAATAAAAAAAAAAAATAAACAAAATACCCCCACACGCATGCACATATTAAAAAAACAGCAGCATCAACAACAAAAATCAGCTGACATGTTATTTTATAAATAACATGTATGAAAACATTCTTTAACAATTTTTTTTTAGAACTTGCCTATCAAAGACAATTCAAAACTGTACAGCCATTCTTGTGTAAGAAATAATAATTTAATGTTATAAAGTTTGTCATGTAATTATCGATTACGTTTTGCAGCATAAATTATCTCTAAAATATCTTAAAAAAACTATCAACATAATTATATTATTGTTACCCTATGATTTATATTCAGTTGTTCAGAAAGCCGCTGCCACATTTCCAGCTCATAATTCACACGATAAAATCCACCGTAATTTATATTTCCTAAAATCCAACCGTCAGATGATTTCTTTATCAGTCCTTTAAAAAAACACAATTAAATAATCATTGAAGTATAAACTCATATATAAACTCACATATACACTTTCAAGCTAGATTCAAATAATACTTGCTTACATACTTATTTAACATAATTGAACATAATATCTGGGAAAAATCAATCCCTTGGAAGCTTTTAAAACAGCAAAGTTACATGAGAATTGCAGACTCGTTTTAATTGAGTCTGTACATAAGAGGCAATGAAAAAGTGCAACATCCCTCACGCCCCCTAGCACCGACTTTACCTGTACTCAATTCTCAATACTTAAAAGTGCTGGATTCCCGAAGGACAAGAAAAATATAACAACACTGAAGTGCATTACGGAAGAAGCCTTCGAACTTATTAAAGCCCTCGCCATGAGGACTCGGGTTTCCCTTCTGCAGACTTTATACACAAAATATAAATTAGCTAAATTAAAGGCTTGCTTGAACCGATGGACAAAACTGGCATATGACTTGCATTAATTACAACCAAAACTTAGACATACATTACTGTAAGACTGGTTAAAGAATGACTTTGTATTGTGTGTAAGACTTTCTAAGATTTGTAGATTACACAAACTTACATCCTTAAGTGCAAGACATTAAAGCAGCATGCCTCCAGATTCATGTTAATTTTCATAAAAGTTTTGGGAATGTATTTAAAAGTAAAATAATGTAAGGTGAACAAATAAAGTAATTTAAATACTTACCATCCAAGTAAATTACCAAAAAGTGGTCAACATATGCAAAAACATGCATTTCTGCATTTGTAACGCGGTAGAAATGTGGTGATAAAACACTGAAAAATCAGTGTTAAACCGCACATAACTTGTAAAATATAGCTTGGATCTTGTATGTTTTTACCTTTCTTATTTTCGTTTTTTTCATAATTGATTTTCTTGAAATATTTTGGATCATCTGGAGGCGTGCAGCTTTAAAGATGAATTGCACTAAAATGGTTGCTTTGATTTAATATAAGAAACCTGGTTTGATTTACCTGGACCCATTTTAAGCCACTGAAGTTTAGGTTCAGTATCCTCCTGTGTCATGTATGTGAACGGGACGTACCATCTATATCTAAAACATAATAAATCATTAGATCATATGAAGTTCGGCATTCTCCGGTAATCATCGTGTATTTCCGTATAGTTTGTACACATACACATATTTTGTTAACATTGTTCCGATAATGTCTCATATTTATAGTTCTAGTTCTATGTCTATAATAAAACTGAATTAAAGCACAGTCATGGAAAAATATAAACTAATGTACTGTTTGAGTGTCGTAAATTTTGATTTAATAAAAAATGACAGTTCGGTATTTTTCGGTATTTTCCGTAAAATAAGTATTAAACTTTTCGGAAGAAGAATAAAAAAGGGAAAAAAACCTTTATCGTCTAAGCAACATCAAATGTTAAAACTATGAGGTACAACGTTTATATGCACTGACGTTTGACGTTAAACGTAAAAAAATCATAAAAAGACGGATAATTTAGTATATATACCCGTAATCGGATTCTATGATGTCATGTTTGTCCGTCTGTGTGTTTATGAGGAATCTTGTCTGGTTGAGAATATAGTGATCACCGTCTGATATTATATTTATGACAGGATAGCCCATCTGTCTAGTCCACGTGTCCATTATCTCGCCGATTTTCAATGAACTATTAGCGGCCTGAAACCGGGGGGAACCGGAAGTAAGTTGATTTTGACACAGGAAAAATATAATGATGACCTTATTCAACAATTTTCTTTTGCTAACGTAACATATACGCTGTAACTCTCTTATTTTACAATAATCCTTGAAATTTAGAATGATAATTTGCTACGCAAGTATTTTAAAGATGTTGTTGATAGACATTTTAATCGGTATATGCTCAATGTAAAGCGGGGGCATCTAATGCCGAACGTACGTTTAATACCGAACAAACAAGTGAGTTGATAAAATAAATGACATTTTAACCAATGAACGTTAAGATAAACACATAATATTTATTGTGATGCTTGGACATTAAATATCCAGTGATATATATCTGATATCACTCACTGTATATAAATAACTCACCTCCGTGAATGTTTCCCACAATTCCGACATTTCCGCATTGGCAAATTTGTATTTCATTACGTATGACTGTAAATTTACAATAAGTAATAAATAATATACAACACTAGAAAATGCCAATGAATAAAGGATATCCAAGTTTATTTTATATTATTATATACTTACAAATGAAATATTGAGAAATATTGATGAAATAAAATGCGTATTTTTGTTTCCCGTATTTTCAATATATAAATCTATTTTTCATTGCAGTGAAAGTGAAATATATTTCCAGTATTTGACTACTGCCAATCGTGAAATATTTATTTTCATACCTCTCGATGAAAATTAATCCTGTATTTATAGAAGAAACTTGAATATCCTCTATTTCTTCTTAAAATACGGTATTTATTTTCATCAAGTGGTATGAAAATAAATATTTCACGAGTGGCAGAAGCCACAAGTGATATATGATAATTTTCATACTACAAGATGAAAATAAATCCCGTATAATAACAGAAAAAAATAAACTAAATTTTCTGTTTATTATATATTTTTTGCTCTTTTTTAACCTTATGAAAAGGAAGAATCCCTTTCTAATTTTGTGAATTGGCTGAATTTAGAAGAAAGTAGTCCGGCAAGACACCAGTGGAAAATACGGGAAATATGTTTCTCTGTCGTGAAAAATAAATTGTAACAGTGAAAATACGGAAGATTAAAATACACTTTTTATTACATCAATATTTGGTTTATAGGTATATAATAAAGAACATTATTCCAAAATAAAAATCAATTATCGTTAATAATAGGTAGGTTGCTACCTTGATAAGCAGAACCCTTTTTTCACATACAAGTTATCTTTAGTTTCAAATATGATTATCAAGTGATAAGTCCATAAAAAAGCAGGTAGAATGTGATTTAATGAAAAAGTCTCTAAATACGAGTGGTTTTGATAAAAGGTTGTCGAGTAAACCAGTGTCACACACTTTACTTTGGATTTGTTTAGGCTATAAACATTGTTTTAACATGTTTAATGCTGAATGAAATTTTCGTATTCGTTTTCGCTTTAATTGACATAAACGGGGAAGAATGTGTTTCCGTTTTAGTGATACAATCAATTCTTTTAAAAATTGTAAGGGAAATAACTTGACAACATAAAGTATATGGTGAAACAATATAAGAAACACAACACATCTTAATTATTTATACTCATGTTAATTAAGGCCAACTAACATGAAGTTTGTATACCAGCTTTTTTAGGTCATTTACAAGACGAACATTTCTGGAGAAAAATTAAACTCAAACCCCCGATCATTATTTTTTACAAAGAGAGAAATGTTAATATTTAACCCTCAATACGTACATAATATGTAGAATTAACAGCCTATTTACCGCGCTTGACTCAGTTGTAGCGCACTTAATTAGTTATGTATAGAGCTCGAAAGTTCGATACAAGGTATTTTAGATGAGATTTCAATAACCGAGATCTCATGTTCCAGTGAGATACACCGGGCATGTAAAACAAATCTGGGTTACCTCTGAAATGGGGCAACTGCTGTATTTATACACTATCTCTAAAATTACAAATAACTCTGAAGCGGTTTCGTATATACGAGCAACCACAATACGAAAGTAAATGGATAGAAATACTGACAAAATCAACCGTATCCAAGAAAATAGATAACAGCAAAGAAAATATGATGTCAAACATTTAGCAACTATCACGGGTCAAAGTTAAATGAATAAATTATTCAGTTATAGAGGAAAAGTGATGTTTGAGAAATGTGTTGCCATGACGACATACCTGAAGACCTTTACGAAATCCTTGTTTTCCTAAAAATGTTTCCAGCATTCGTAACAGCGCCATCCCCTGGAATTATATTTATATTTGTTTGAATAATCACAAAATAGTAGGATTTCATATTTCCTGGAGAAATTTTGTAACTATTTTAAAACAGTCTAGAAAGATGCAAGATAGAAAATGCAGTGGCCATTTACGTTTTATCCTTTTTTTTCGAAAGTATATACATATATAGCGTATTTTCTTGTAAAACATACATACCTGTTATGATGTATATTAAGTCTAACATGTCTTTATATGAGAGCGTAACTGCACGCTGAATATTTCTTATGACATCTTAAAGTTTCGCACAAAAAATCGGGTTTCAATTCATATTTTTAGCATATTTTCTATATTATACTTGCAGATTTTTTACTACTTCCAGTGTTTCACTTGATTTATGAAAAGAATTTCAAATGTAATGTTTGTTAAGGCTTTTTGACTACAGTGGATCCCCTTTAAAGATTGTTTACTCTGTCAAGATATAAATATACATGTACATTTAAGATAGAAAGGATTTTCAGCATACACACCTTATTGTATGATATTTGATCAAACGATTCGGCGATTTCATCCGGGTGGTTTATATTTGGTGAAACCGGATGTGACGTCACAAGAGCGTCCTTGACCATAACCGGAAACATGTCTTCGGCAACGACGATGTCAAGCTGTAGTTGAAATAAAGTAAGATAGGGTAAGAAGAATTCATTTATTCCTGTAAAAGCCAAAATTTCCTTGGAATTTGCTAGACGTATGAGTTGAAAAAAGGCAGATAATTCAAGAGCAATATGAAACCAAGATCTATATGTTCAAAACCAAGGACAAAATTACCACATTCATTCAAGTATAATAGTACATGTACATAAATTTGAAGACCGTTTAAGAAATGATTAACTAACAAACACGGAAGGCATTTATTTACGACACATTACACCACTATATTTAACTTTGTTTCTATAGAAATGGCAACCGTGTTTTATAATGATGATATAATAGATTTAGTAGATCTTAGATGCTTGTCTTACAAAAAAACGTCAAATGTGAAATAATTTCTGGTAGAGGTATCAAATTGGAAATAAAGTAGTATTTTGACTTTCATACTAACTGCTTAAGGACCATTACTATACAAGTTGCCAAAACGCAAAGGAAGCAAAGCAAAGCTCAGATTTATGGCCAATCAGTAACAAGTTTGGAAACTGAAACTGGACAAGAAAAAAAAAGTTTTTGAAAAATGAAAATATTACCATTTTGCAGCTTAATTGAGTTTTTTTTATGTATTGTGGTTCAGATTAGAATTTTTATTCATTTTATTAGTAATGACACTTGTTTACACTAAGTAGCTTTTGTATAACACATTTTCACATTGTCCTGTCTTAAAACTTACCACGTTCCACTCCGGATAAGCGTTATCCATTGCAAAATACATGAGCGTGCTGGCGAAGCCTTCGTTTAGCCACAAGTCGTCCCACCATTTCATAGTTACCATGTTACCAAACCACTGAAATATTCCTCTAGATTTTCATAAGGCTATTGTGATGTTCATATCATATTTCTACAAGCATAGTGCAAAACTGTGGACTGATTAAACAGATTGTAGAAAAAAAGATTGCATAAATTCTTGTTTATTACAGCCGTTTGCTATATATAACCGTTTAAAGTGGCAAAAAAACCCCATAAAAATCTATTTTACTGAGCACTTATATAATTTACCTAGGTGACACCCATTTTGTAGCTTACAAATTTATCAAAGTCTAGTTACTAGATTACCGTATTAAAGTCTAGATAACCATATTGAAGTCTAGATTTACGTATTAAAGTCTAGGTCACCGTGTAAAAGTCAAGATAACCGTATTAAAGTCTAGGTTACCGTACTAAAGTATAGATTACTGTACTAAAGTCTAGATTACCGTATTAAAGTCTGGATAACCGTATAAAAGTATAGGTCACCGTATACAAGTCAAGATAACCGTATTAAAGTCTAGGTTACCGTACTAAAGTATAGATTACATTATTAAAGTCAAGATTAGCGTATTAAAGTCTAGATTACCGTATTAATACACTTGTTACTATATATAGTAACAAAATTGCTATGATTTTAACTGATTATGAGTGTCACGTGACCTATTATGAGTTTGCGGCCCGGGGCCGAGAACTAGTTATCAGCCCGCAGAACATGTGCACGTGCACAAACTGAAACAATGACGTCATATTTTACGTCACAAAACAGTTAACTGTAAAAGTGAAAGTAGGTTTTCAACACGAATCGCTTTATTTTAATTATGAGAGCTTAAGCGTATTTAGTACAAACACATTTTTGTTACTATTGAAATTTGAAGAAATAATACGACAAATTCATTCCGAAAAAAATGAAAATAGAACTTGCTTCTAGATGAACACACAAACAGTAAACATCTCTGTACAGAACAGTAGAAGAGTAGACAAGAATTTCAACAAAAGAACTTTGTTGTTTTTTGTTTTTGTTTTTTTTTAAATGCTACTATTAGATCTACCAAGTGTATTAAAGACATTAATACACGTCAGAGTAGGGCCGGAAGGTGATAATCGGCCCTGAATGAATAATGGCCCTTGGGCTAAAGCCCTCGGGTCCATTATTCATTTCGCGGGCCGATTATCACCTTCCGGCCCTCTCCTGCCGTGTATTAACCTCTTATTAAAGTCCAGGTTGCCATATTAAAGTCCAGATTGCCGTATTAAAGTCTAGATTACCGTATTTAAGTCCAGATTTCATTATTAAAGTCTATATTACCGTATTAAAGTCTAGATTTCCGTTTTAAATTCTAGATTACCTTAAAAAATCTAGATCACCGTGATTAAGTCTAGAGTACCGTATTAAAGTCTAGATTACAGTATTTAAGGCTCTAGATTACCGAATTAAAGTCAAGATTGCCGTTTTAAAGTTGAGATTACCGTATTAAAGTCTAGATTGCCGTATTCAAGTCTAGATTGCATTATTAAAGTCTGAGTACCATATTAAAGTCTAGATAACCATATTGAAGTCTAGATTTACGTATTAAAGTCTAGATTTCCGTTTTAAATTCTAGATTACCGTAAAAAAATCTAGATTACCGTTTTAAAGTCTAGAGTACCGTATTAAAGTCTAGAATGCCATATTACAGTCTAGATTGTCGTATTTAAGTCTAGATTACTAGATTGCCGTATTAAAGTCTAGCTTGCCGTAATAAAGTCTGAGTACCGTATTGAAGTCTAGATAACTATATTGAAGTCTAGATATTACCGTAATAAAGTCTAGATTACCGTATTAAAGTCTAGATTACCGTATGCGCAATTTCATGCGCAATGATCAGAGTAACCATGTACTTGTTTGAACTGGAGCTGACTTCCGGGTCATACAATAACGCAGTCTCGCGATATATCACGAGACCCCAGTTCTCCATCGCACCTCCACTGAAATCAGGAACAGCCACGTGATCTGTAAAATATTTTTATATAATCATTTACAAATCTAAAGTACAATAGAATTTCCAATTCATTAAATTTTTATGTGTAATAACTAAAACATAACTTTTCCGTTAGAACTTTTGTTGAAGAACTATTTAAGACATTTTTGCATTATTTTTCTTATAAATTAGGTGACATCTTTATTGTGTCACATCACATTCTAACGTTAATCATCCAAACACCAGTTATTTGATGAAATTCCTAAACGATGAGAATCTATTTATAATTATTCTACTATAAGATGTATATATTTTTAAGACATAATTTGAACAACCGCTTATGGGCATTACCTGCTTTTGGAACTACATCCGGCATCTGAAAGTAGTCCGTAAAATAGGCGTAGGTTTTTGTTGCAAAATCTAATGCGTAGTGTGTCTGATTGATAAGATCCGGTTGTGACCAAATGCGTAACTATAGAAAAAATCGAAAAAAAAACAACAACAGTCAGAAAAACTCCTTTTAAACATGTTGATATTTAGAATTTTATGATCAAATAATATTGTAAAAAATGAGTAATACAACTCTGGCTCATCAAAATAATGAATGCCTGTGTCACGGTTCAGAACTGTTCACTATTTAGGGGAGATAATGTGTAAGCGGCCGGATAGCTCAGTCGGTAGAGCCGCGGTACGGTATTCCGAGAGTCCCGGGTTCGAGTCCCGGTCAAGCTGCACATTTTTCTCATCCTGTGACATTTGGCGCCCAACGGGGGACCGTGACTGATATAGCTCAGAGTTTAATTTACATTGCTCTGTCACTCTGTGAAATTCGAGGACGAATTTCAATATAGCAGGGGAGTATGTCACGGTTCAGAACTGTTCACTATTTAGAGGAGATAATGTGTAAGCGGCCGGATAGCTCAGTCGGTAGAGCCGCGGTACGGTATTCCGAGGGTCCCGGGTTCGAGTCCCGGTCAGGCTGCACATTTTTCTCACCCTGTGACACCTGTTAAGATTGATTTGAAACACGGTGACACTTTGCTGAATAACCATCAGCTTGAGTATTGGTCACATTTCGTAACAAGCAAGTTGTTATGTCAAATAACAAACCACTCGCTAGCCTGCTTGCCTCTTTACATCATACAGAACGATTCGTCTTTCACGACATCTAAAACCACTGTGTTTAGGGCCATTTGATGAAAAAACAACTGTATAATACACATTCATAGATTTGTTACTTAAACTCGTATTTATGCAAGACATCAGTTAGTTTATCATTCAATAAAAAACAACTTTTTGTTGCCATGGAAATCTAAAATAAACATATTTGGCGGAAAAATTAATCAGTCAAAACCTTCATTAAAATATGTGAAAGACAGAACAATGATACAATTTTTTCATACATACCGTGTAATTATTTTCCAGGATCGTTTCCGTATAGTCGAAATCAGACACAACAAACGCGAGGAGATACGTTGACATGATGGGCGTGGTCTGGAACTGAACACGTGTGCGCGCGCAATCGTCAACACATTTCTCTGACTGTACAGGCATATTACACAAGGCCGTGTATTCTGTAAAATATACAAGTTAAAAATTAACAAAAATTGTAACCACCTCTGCAAAGTGACCCCCCGTAGAGCAATGATATGTTTACAGATTCTGTATTAGTTTGCACCATAGACACCAAAATGGTTTAAACCTCTCCGGAGCAACACCTTCAAACAACACCTGAAATATTTATCTCCCGAATGCCGTTGCTTTGCATAGCAAACGGCAATGTATACGTAGCAGCATTTATGAGTTTAAAACAATCAACTCCTGGTTTCACTAATTAAAGCACAATGACATTAATAATGTTGGTGACAACCAATCATACGAACGACAGACTATCGTAATTGTCACGTTGTCACGACGATAAACTAATAATATTTCAATGTCAGTATTCTATGTCTTACGTTTCTGGAAGATTTGCTTTAAATTTGTAATCTACGTAAGCATTATGTTTGTAATTAAATACCTGTTTAGATATAAATAATGTATATTGTCAATGATAATATGTGATTAATTGTATAAATTCTCCGCTTACACATAATGTTATCATTATCATCATCATTATTGTTATCATTATTTTTATATGTATTTTCTATGCTATATATCGTCTTTTTACATAACATATGTTTGTATGACCCCATGAACCAGATTTCATAAACCACTTGGTCCAATGGACTTTTGAAAATAAAACTTAATATTAAATTCATATCAAGGCAGATAAATGATAATAAACAACAAAGACGTAACATAAAGCGCAGTTATTTTAACGTTCAGCTTGCATTTTATACCAATTTCTTAGGCAAACCATACACTTTCTTTCCTAAATATTAACATCATATAATCAAAACACAACTTTGTACTCTTACCCGAGGAATGTGTGATTGACACTGAGAACGTAGCTTTCATGGATGGTTCATCAAAACAAGGGAAAACTTTTCGTGCATCTGTTGATTGAAGTTGGGATGCTATAAGGTTTCTGTAAAATAAAAAAAAAGATACATCTTAATTGTTAACTTAAGGTCATTTGACGATTTTCCTGCTTCACCTGTGAAGAAGGCCACAGTTGCCTCTCCGTGTATTGTTTCAGACATTAGCGGGAACCAATAGAACAACCGACAGCTAGATAGCTTCCCCACATGAAATAATAATTTAAATAGATCTCCCCAATGGGCCGCTGTATACCTTGTTTAACTATTACTTAGTAAGTTTTAGGTGTTCTTTTAAATTATAAATTTTATCATCAATGCTTAACACTGATCATCTGTCCGGAAAATACCGAAAAAAGGATGGCGATTAGCCCGTATATTTACCGGAAGTGAAGAACACACCAAATAACCTACGGCCGAAAAAAAGCACCTGTCAACATTTTTGTCGCGCTATTCTTATTGTAATTACACATATGTAAATATAACATTGGAGGACATGCCTCACGTGAGAGACTTGAGAATTATATTTACAGCATTTACTAATCCTATTTCCTGAAGCACGTTATGTTCTCAAAGACGTAATGGTAAAGAATTTGTAGGAAAAAACGTTCCGCCGGCAAGTTCATTGTCCAATAACGTTTTGTTAATATATTTCTACAATTGATTGATATGAACTGTCAACTTTACTGCAAGGTTTTTTGTTGCTTTCATTGAAATTGTCACGCACGTCTTGAAGACTATTAGAACATTTCTACAAAACGTGCATGAATAAAAAATATACTGTTTAAAGTTACACGGATGCAATGATGGTGCTATAAGATTAAAGTGTAGCGATAAATACATAAATGTTTGAAAACATTATTATACTACCACTATCACTACTACAAAAAATTTTTATTTTTTAAAAAATTTTTTAAAAAATTTAAAATTTTTAGTTAATTTAAAAAAAAAAAACCTTTGTTTTTTAAAAGTTTTAAAATTTTTTTAAATTTTTTTTTTTTTTTTATAAATGTTATTAAATTTTCCCCAAAACAAATTCCCCCAAACTTGTTTAAAACCTGAAATTTTTTTTTTAAAAAAAAAATTTAAAAAATTTTCCCCTTTTTTTGGGAATCGCCCTTTATCAGGGGGATCCCTTTTTTTGTAAACTTTGGTGTGTTTTTCCCTTTTTAAATTTTTTTTGCTTTTTTTTAAATTTTTTCCCATTAAAAATGGAACCCATTAAAATTTTTCATTTTTAAAAAAAAAAATAATTTTTTTTTTTTTCGATTTTTTTTTTCGTATCAACGGCTTTTCCTTTTAAAGTTTGGGAAGACCCCTTTTTTTTTTTACGGAAAAAATTTATTTTTTAACTATTTTTTTCTGTTAAAACGTTTAAATTTTTTATTCTTCTCTGCCAAAAAAAAAAAAAAATTTTTTTTTTTGGTTTGTTTTTGAAAATAGTTTAAAAATGAAATATCTTTATTTTTAAATTTCATTTTGGGAAAAATGTTTCCCCGCAGGAAACCATTTTACTTGTTAATCAGATGCATGTCAATGAGGACGTTCATTTCGCCTGTTCAAGAGAACTGCTTATTTAGCTACGTTGCTTCCCACTTATTCAAAATAACAATAATGTTGCCGAAAAAACGAGGGAAAAAAAACCCTCATAAAACATACGTTGTTCTTACATTATTGCATTATTTACATCGAAACAATGGTCATCGGTAAATACTGTGTATACTATTGCGGTCACAGAAAAACAAAAAAGGCCAGCTTAATCCTTTTTACAATTTAAAAATAAAGCAGAATGTATCTTTTCATTTGACCACATGATGATCTAAAATCCAAGCACGATAGATTTCGTTCACATTTCACGGTGCTCTATACATCTACAATTAACAACTTATAAATTTCCAAGGCACTCAGTGATATCTGAAAAGTATGATTGCATGTATCATATACTAAATTAAATTGCTTTGACTTAATTTGCTGTGACCATTTTTTTCTGCTTTAAAAAGACTCACGACAAAGTTTCAGTATCATTTTAAACTTTTTAACAAAAGCTAAGCCAAATAAAAAATGATTCTGTAGAACGTAATAATAATCATCATTTAATAATTTATTTGTGGCGGCATGGCCGAGTGGTTAACGCGTCGGACTAGTTTAATCTAATGATCGATAGCCTCATGGTTTCAAACATCCGTCAGGGCAAGTAATCGAGTGTTTTCCTTGAGCAATTTTGAATACTTTTACAGTCTATGTGCTCAATACAGGAGAATTTGGATATATATTACAAGGAACGGATTCAAAAGGCTGTCTTAAGTTGCATGTAAATCTTCCTACACAATCGAACTAAAATAAATTCTGTATAAACCAATAATATTCAGCGTATTTAAGACAAAGTTAATCAAATTATACATAATAATTATACATCTATCTAAGTAAACTTCACAAGCCATGTTAAAAAATGTCTGAAATAACGACATCAATTTCATATGAGATTATGATTGCGAAGATAAAAAATCCTTCTTACAAATGTCAGTATGCCAACGTATTTGTTAAGACAATAAAGTCTGTGATTGTAGACAATTAACGTATTTGTCGTAGAAAGATATTGTCTCGAGAAATAAGGACTTGGGTTGTAAATTATGTCTATTTGGCAATTGTTTTTTCTTCGTAATGATTGAGGCAGGAAATTTGATAAGATACCTATCAGTGTTTGATTATTCTCAAACGTATATTGGAAGTATATGAATTAACAAATTACATAAGAAAAACGTTTGTTTAAAGGGGGTATAATTAAGAGCAAGGTGAAAAAAATCCTCTGAAACAAGTAAAGCGCAAAGACAACTTGTCCATATCTAAAGACAAGTTTGCAAATCGAAAATACTAGTCGAATATGCATTACATTTTACACTAGATAGAAACAGCGATTTTTATACGAACTTTCTTTCTCTGGCACACTCACAAACAGTTAAATTTAATGGACTACCTTGCATTTTTAATAGAGTTATCGTTTCACACTTGATGAAAAAATGTTTATCCTTTTCCAATTGACGATAGGACGACTAATAATAAAAGCATCATAATATTTTTTACCTCACAACGCGACTTCCGTAATCTTCAAATTACATGTATATGAAATATTTATGCTGAAACCTTCAGTGGTATTTTCGAAAACTCTTTCTTGCACGCAATAAAAAATATTTGATATAAATTTGCTTGCTTTTGTGACCATGTTTTCTGTGAGAAATTTCATAACATTTTCCCAAAAGGATTCATGCGTCATTTGCAATATTTCTGATTTCTTTACTAAACTTTCTTGTCTCTTGGCATTCCTGTTAGAACAGAGATCAGACGTGATGCCCAAAAATGATAAACTATATTAGCATCAAAATCTGCATCGTGCATTTAATTTAACTTGTAAAATCTTTGACAAATATCTCAAAATATTAGGTTTTAGAACAAAACATCAAGGCAAACTGTGTAAATGCAGCCAGAAACATTTGTTATATGAAATTATTTGGGTTGTTTATGTCACATCTGATGCCATATAACTTGAAGCAATCATTTTCTAAAACCTTGCCTCATCGTGTATACAACTATATAAAATGTGTTTCCCACTTACAGTTTTAGAATAAAATATTAAATGTATATTTTGTATAATTTTATTTCTCATGATATAGTATTTACATCAATTTCTATTGTAGATTTTGTAATGTAAATCTATTTTTACAGCTTTGCAATATTGCATGGTATAATATTCGGACAATTTATTGAAATCTTCATTTTCTATTCAGACAACAGAATTTCTAGATTTAGAGTCAAACAATAAAAAAGCTTTATAAGGGATTAAATGTTATAATATAAAACTTTAGTTAATGCTTAGAAAGAATCTTCAGACATTATTTGACCTCGTATATAATCCTTAAATTGTCTTTTGACGCGGACATAATCTGTCCTTATGCTCCTGGATAGAAAAAGGAAAAAAAACAAACAAAAAAAAAACAACAAAAACCGACAATAATAATTAAATAGTTTCAAGTTGCAGCTGCTTTTTAACACAAATCATTTTTATCATTGTCATTTGTGATATATATATATTTCACTATTGTGTTTATTATGTTAGTTTATAGACAATTACTTAGATATTACGTCTGCAGGTACTGGTACTTATTCAATTTTAACGTTAATATTGCTGAAAGGATGTAAGATAACTTTATGATATTATTCGTTTTTCTTATAATAGAATATATAAGATGACTGTACCAGCTCTTTATCTTACATAACACCATTATTTCCTTCCTTTTTTACCGGCCGGTAATAACTTGCACCATAGACCCGAGCGACACAACCACACAAAATTGTGCATTCATACAAAATACAAATTGATATGCCGTCATCACCCAAATAAACTTTTTTTTATTTTTTTTTTTTTTTTTGGTAATGAAGAATCATAAATAAAGACGAACTGTAGGCTTTAGCAAAGCATACTTAAAAAGCTGCAAGGTTACATCCAAATTGAGCAATATAAATTAGTAGTTTATAAATAAAACTTCTTTTTTTAAAGTGGAATAGAAATATAATAATAAAAAAACTTTGTGTCTGAAATTGCGACAAACATTTTATTTAGTGTTGAGAAAGCAAAGACGAATAATCGTTCTGACAAATGTCAGTATGCCAACGTATTTGTTACGACAATAAAGCCTCTGATAGTAGACTATTAACGTATTTGTCGTAGTGGGATATTGTCTCGGTAAATAACGACTTGAGTGATAAATTATGTCTATTTGGCAATTGTTTTTTCTTCGTTATGATTGAGACAGGAAATTTGATAAGATACCTATCATTGTTTGATTATTCTCAAACGTATCCATAAGAGTAGATGTATAAACAATTTGCATAAGAACAACGTTGAAAAGGGGTACAAAGAGCAAGGTGTATGGCATCCTATTCTGTGATTGCAATAAAGAAATATTTCAAATGAGAGGTTTAATGGTCACTTAACTTCATTATACATCTGTTCTATGAAAATATTTAATGACCACTTCACTTCATTCTATGAAAA